CCCCAAAACCCCAAAACCCCTTACAACTTAAACTGTACAGTAATTGGAGAGTTATGAAATTATAATTAATCAAGAATTAATTCAGTTCAGTTTTTTCTTCTTATAGAATTTCTAAAAATGATATCGATCTCCTCAGCAATGAACTTGGCACATATCTGTAAGAAAATATCATGCATCTCTTCACTTTGCTAAATATTCAACTTTCTTTATTATCTACTTTTCAGAGCATTTTACTAGGCTTTCTAAATATCAATTTATTAGGGTTCAATCATTTTTATATTATTGTTAATCACTGAAATTGGATTCTAATTTGTATTGATGTAATTATTAGGGGACTCGTTAATTTCAAAAAGATTAATTGTGGAGGTGTCATCGTTGAAATTTAATTTTGAGGTGAGAGGAGTAAGTGAGTTTTTGTTGCTTGCCTCTTCGTCATCTATTAAAGGGTTTAATTTCATGGATGAATCTTTTTTGGTTATGGTACGCCTTTAAAATCCTTAGAATTAAATCTAGCCTTAGGATTAATTGCCAGATCTGTCCACATTCGGAGATGTTTTTATTATTGATGAAGGTTCAATCATACTAATTAGATTTTTATTTCCAGATGAGCCCCAATCATGGACTACATCATCTTTTGGACTCTATTCGAATGGATGGATAGCCTCGTCTTCCTCATCATCATCTGAAATAACAAAAAAGTCACCATTTTCATCGTCACTTAATATTGATTTGAATGATCTCATTTGGTTTGTCTTATTTTAAAGAATTTTGTCGCTTATTTTGTTTTAATTCACCGGACCCTATTTAACTTACTAGTGCTATTTAAAGATTAGATTTTGATTAAGTCTCTTGGGACTTCCTTTATTTATACTTTAGTCTACTAACTCATATGTGTAGCTAGATGAAGAACTGTAAAGTATTTCATTGCTTTTATCCTCTTCATCATCTTCAAGCAAACTTTTGAGATACCCTGTAATTGGTTTATAATCTTGAAAGTCTTCTACTTCATCTTCAAACTAAATGCTCTCTATGATTTTGTTTTATTTTATCTCAATTCGTCTATTAAGCTTTGCTTGCTCGTAAACTTTAGCTTAATTTTCCTAAAATTTTGGGGTGTAGGCTTTTATCATTCTTTCCTATTTTGCAATCCAAACCTCATTAAAGCTAGCATTGTCCATCATTTACTTTGACTTGGCTTTATCAATTACATTAGCCTCGTCATTATAAAATACCACAGAGTCTCTTCTGTATTTATTCTTTTAGCTAATTAGCATATTGTCATGAGCTTTTCTCTCTGGAGAGTTCTCGACATAAATTTTATTCTTCTAGTTTTGAATGTGAGATTTCATAAACTGAGGAAGTGAGCTGTTAATATGATTATGATATGTAAAAGCTTGTTTATTTCTTGAAGGTGATTGCTAATGCAACTACTTCTCTTGCTATTAAGCTTTTCTTATAGATCTATCAGAGTGATTAGTTTAATCCTTTGAGCACTATCTTAAAAAAGCTTCTCCCTCTAATAGAGTTTTCCCCTCTTTTCTAAGTGGCTATCTTTTGGATTACTTTAGTTAAATAATTTATTCAGCATCTTGTATTTTCATTTCTTCTATACTTTCTTGAGATTAATCAACAACCACTTTTTACAGTTGAATACTCTCTGAAAGATTTGTAGGCAAATTATAGTTTTCCTAAGATAATGCTTGATTCTATGTTTCAACTGAGCCTTCTTCATCTTCTTCAGTAGTTTGCATTTCTTAGATCAGATTTGTAAATAGTTCCTAAAAATGTTCATATTTTTATCCTACATCATGTACTGATTGCTCCAAAGCTTGAATTTTTTCATTAGCTGTTAATGATCTGCTGTCAAACTCACTCACTTTTTAAAGAACTATTGCTTTGATCTCATTGAAGCTTGAAACAAATGATTTCTCTTACTCTTCTTGTTTGCCTTCAAACTCCTTTTTTAACTGATGAAGTTTTTCCTTATGAGAATCTAACATAGCCTAAAAATCCTATCTCAAATTTTTCTAATCCTCTTGCTTATTCTAATTTACTATTTTTTCTAAGTTCTCAATTTTATGGCTTATGTCTTTATCAACTCTATTAATACTGCTAATTGTTCCCTTTACTTAATTTTCAATGTTCTATATAAGACTATCAATATCTTACTAATGATGGACTAATTTATCAGAGATAGCCAAATCGATTCTTAAATCGATTAAATTCTAAATGTCTTCGTCCGATAGTTTTTTTTCTAGAATTTCCAATCTCTGATGAACATTCCTATCTTGCTGGATTTATTAAACTATCTTCTTAATGCGTATAATATAGTTTTGATGATCCTTTATTTTAGCTTCGACTAACACAATTTTATTATCATTTGCCCTAATCTGATCTTCAACAATTTAAATCTTTTGAGTTTATTTGGTTTTAAAATCATCAATTTTAAAATCATTTTTGCCTTTCTGATCCCAAAGCGTCCTCATTTTCTCATCTGTTCTATCAGTAAATTCAAATATAGTTTTGAACTTATTCGCATAAATATTCTGCAAATTTTCATATTTACTGTCCAAATATTAATAGACATCCGCCTTAAACTTATAGAAATCTTCCATCTTTTTTTCCTCTTCAGACTGCTTTGCTTTAAGCTTCTTCATTATATTCCCCTCAATTTCAAATCTCTATGCTTTAAATTGATTTTGCAATATATTCAAATCCTCATTACATCTGTTGACTTATTCTTCATATTCGCTTTTTACAAGATCAACTTTCATCTCTACTTCTTTCATGCTAATGCAATCACTTAATCGTTTTTATATTGAATTATTTTCTTGCTTAAGAACCTTGTAAGACCTTAGAAGGTCTTTTGTTCTTCTGAGTATTTCATTTTCAAATATTTCAAATTTGGAAGTTAAATCCTTTACATTTTTATTAAGTTCTGAATCCTCATCAGCGAATTAAGGGTACTTATTGACTTCTTCTCTTATTTTGGATTGAATTTTGCTTTGAATGTTATGGAGGTCAGTTTTAGCAACGTCAAGTTGAGACTTTAGTTCAAATTCTATCGTGTCCTAAAGATTTTGTGGCGAAATCATTGAGGTTTGCTAAAAGTGTATATCTGAGGGATTAGATCCATTCCTATTATGAAAAGTATCAGGTGAGGTACTATTATTTGCATATCTACTCTTTCTCCCATAGAAATCAAGCTTTCTAAGTATCATAAATTTTAAGAAAATAGTAAGTTTACTTGAGCATTGAATTTTTCTAAGTTGGAGTCATATTCTAAATTCCCTAGCTTTAAGAGAAATCTAGAGTCTAAACTGGATTTCTTAAGTTAACAGAAGGAGAATTGCCACCAAAAGAGAAGATAAATGATTATTATGAGTTGTTATTTAAGTCTCTATTTTAGGTTGAACGATTCCCCATCTTGAAATAGTTATTAATTGTAGGGGAAGTTTGGATGCCTCCACCACCCAACTCTGTAGTCTAGACTTTTAATGGCTTTTTAATCTTTAATTTTGGATTGACAGGAGGTCTATGAGGTCCTTGAGAGGCTTAAAGATTTTATATTCCTGTTCCTATTGCTTGATGATTATAATTATAGATATTGGATTAGTCCCTAGAATTTTCATATGCGTCTAATCCTAACATTGAATAAGTTATTATAATCTAAAGAGTTACTTGAAAGATTTCTATCAGTTGATCTTGCCAACTAGGCTATAGTATCAGACCATCTTATTATTTCCTAGCTTCTGTTAGTTATAATTAGAGAATTCTATAGAGGAGCAATATTGATTGCACTACTTTCATAGTAGTTTTGTTAGTCCATAATTTTTCTTAATTTATTCGATTGACTCAAATTCTTTAAATCTTGGAATTAAGGGGTTTTGGGGTTTTGGGGTTTTGGGG